TATGATGCTAGTGCTAACACGATTATACTAGCTTCTTTATGATGCTAGTGCTAACACGATTATACTAGCTTCTTTATGATGCTAGTGCTAACACGATTATACTAGCTTCTTTATGATGCTAGCTAACACGCTAACACGATTATACTAGCTTCTTTATGATGCTAGTGCTAACACGATTATACTAGCTTCTTTATGATGCTAGTGCTAACACGATTATACTAGCTTCTTTATGATGCTAGTGCTAACACGATTATACTAGCTTCTTTATGATGCTAGTGCTAACACGATTATACTAGCTTCTTTATGATGCTAGTGCTAACACGATTATTACTAGCTTCTTTATGATGCTAGTGCTAACACGATTATACTAGCTTCTTTATGATGCTAGTGCTAACACGATTATACTAGCTTCTTTATGATGCTAGTGCTAACACGATTATACTAGCTTCTTTATGATGCTAGTGCTAACACGATTATACTAGCTTCTTTATGATGCTAGTGCTAACACGATTATACTAGCTTCTTTATGATGCTAGTGCTAACACGATTATACTAGCTTCTTTATGATGCTAGTGCTAACACGATTATACTAGCTTCTTTATGATGCTAGTGCTAACACGATTATACTAGCTTCTTTATGATGCTAGTGCTAACACGATTATACTAGCTTCTTTATGATGCTAGTGCTAACACGATTATACTAGCGTCTTTATGATGCTAGTGCTAACACGATTATACTAGCTTCTTTATGATGCTAGTGCTAATGCTAACAAAGTTGTGGGTGTGTCCTTAGGCAAGACACTTCCCCCACATTAGAATGAGTCTGGTGTGTGTGTGAATGGTTGGTGGTGGTGGGAGGGGCTTCTGTCGGTGTGCCCCAGGGCAGCTGTGGCTACAGTAGTTTATCACCACCGTGTTTGGAGAGACAGAATAATGACACTTGAAGCGTCTTTTCTAGTGTTAAGCGCTGTATAAAATCAATACATATTGATTAGATATTATCTTATTAACATTTATTGTTACAGTCCTGGTCCTGGTGAAATTTGAATTTTGCAGCACATTGTAGTGAACCAGAAACTACATTTGAAAACATACATAAAAAGGCAACTGTTTTGACATTCCCGTGCCAAAATAAACGTGTTTGTAGTTCCCACAGTCAGATCTCGTAAGCCTCTCTAACGGGCTCATCATTCACGCCATAATGAAGATGAAGTGACGGGATAGGATTCCACACAGCTCTGGGGAACGAACTGGGACTGACTCAGAGCTCTTCCTCTTCATCCTAATTAAAAACTCTCTGGGATTATAGCTGCAAAGAAGTGCATTGGAACGACTCGGGAGCTGATCGGAGTGACAAAAATGGCAGGCTGTGATTGGCATTTGGTTGAATTGATACTGGCTTTTGGCTTTTTCTGTGATAAATTCTCAGACTGAACAGAATTGAAATGAGAATATTATTCAATAACGCTAATATCAGGAGCTTCTGGAGCAAGGCTTAGAAAGTTCTTTAAAACAAGAAAAAAGTGTAAAGAAGCTTGTTCTGCTTAATTACTACGTGTTTTGGCGGTGGAGGAGTCACGGGATGGTGTGACTTATCAGCTGTTGATCCCAGATGTGGTCAGTCTGACAGATTCTTCAGACTGGCCACGCCCCCCTGTGGTCTCTGGAGAGGTGAGAAGTGTGAGCCAAGGTGAAAGCCCCCTCGTCTCAGTTGATGGTCCGTGTGCGTCGCTTCCTGATTTCAATCGCCTCTCGTATCCATCTTTTGTCTTTATGTTCTTCTGTTGCTACTATTTTAGCATTTTCCCAGTCCATGAGGTTTTGCAAGGGTCAGATGTTGATTTTTCCATTGTTGATCTCGTTAGTTGTGCTTTTCTCTTTCACATTCTTTCCGGTGCTTCCCGTTTCTCCCATCTGTGCGTTAGTGCAGGTTCTACGTGGGATTTCGTATGTGACTCTATATACAGTATATGCAGTATTTCTCTGGTTGTATCTAGTGTTTCGGGTGCACGAGGAAGGTACAATAACCCTCTAAGGCTAATTGTAATTGCCTTTGAGTTAACTGCCTTTAAAACAAAAGTTTCCTCAGGTGCAATAACATTCTTTACACGTAATGTTTGATGTCATTCATTTTTTTCAAATTTGGACACAAAACACAACTAATTCTACTCCTCCCTTTGGTGTAGGGCAGACCGGTCCCATGATTTACTGAGGTTTCTTTTGTTTCACGCAAGTAAGTGGGCATAGACATAATTAGGACAAATGAATCACAAGCCACTTATTTACATTTACAAAATATAACAAAAAGGGGAATAATACTGACATAACACCTATGGAGGCCTGAAAAGGAGTGGGACGTTGTTAAATTTAAAGTTAAGTTGTTAAATCCCGCCCCTAATTACTTCAGTCAAGTTGCAAGTTACAAGTAAAGGCTTCCTATTAGCCCCATCTTATATTTTCTACTATTGTTTGCAATTCTAGAGAGAGATAGATCCCCGTAATAAACAATCAGTTGTCCAGCCGCCACAACACATCCATCCATCCACACAAACAAATACATAATTATAAAAGTTACTAACAACAGTACTTCAGGTCACAGCAGCAGAGGTGGTGTCGCCGCTGGAAATAACAAAGTCTCATTCTTATTTAAATGACCAAAAATAATGCTTTATGTTTCTACTTTATCTCAGCACAGTCATTGTCAAAACTTTTATAACAAGATAAGCATCGTGGTTTCTGATTGCAGCGCAGATTAAATGACCCACATCTTTCCTCCATCTCTGTAGTCCGTGTCCCTTACTTTTTGTGTGTGTTGAGATGAAAGCCAGAAATGAGCAACTATCCGGAACAAGACACATCCGTCCGTCAAAATCTGCCGAAGATAAAGGCGTGCATCGGGTCATTCCGGGTCTCTCTCTCTACATTCTGTGTCTTTTCTCTTCCTGTATTATCCGTAATTGCGGGGGTCTCGGTTACATTGTCTGTCGTGATGCAACGAAGCTAATCCCAGGCCTCTCCCTCGACGCTTATTCAAATGACATGCAGATGGAGAGAGAGCTTCTGTTTTGGCAGAGCGGTGTCATGAAACGGGACAATCCGTTGTCAGCAGTCGGTGATTAATGCGACGGGCGGGGCTGTAAAAGAGGAAGCAGAGGGACGGGGACAGGGGTGGATTGGCAGGAGAGCGAGGACGACGTGGTGACCTGGTGAATCGTGAAAACAGTGCCTCGGGCCATGTTCTGATTAGGATTTTTACAGAGCATATGTCTTGTTTAAGGTAAAATGGTAACGTTTTTCAGGATGTTCAAGGTCACACTTTGGAACGTTAGCTAAACGCTGGTAGTTTAACACTGAACTGCTCTCAAAACAGCTTCTATCACTGCTGTTCATATTTATGTATTTTTGGCCTCTGTCACATCTTTAGATCTGCTTTTTCAGATAAAAAATAAGAAAGAGAGGACCACTGTTGCTTGGCCAAACGTTTCTCAGCCCATAACATCAAAAAGTGACTCACCGGGCAAAAGATCAAATGCTTTTTAAAGATAAAGGCAGCATGATGTGGTTCACAAAGTGTTACTTTTACAATGTTTTACACGCTGATATATTTATGTATTGACAGTACATGTCCCTCTGTACCACTGTGCGTTCAAAGGTTGTGTAGATTCCTCATCGCCCCCATGAGAAATATGTTACACATGTTTCCTGATCCATAAATAACAACTATTACAGAGTTACATGTAATGAAGAGACTGGACTCTGCTTTCAGATGTGTATTATAGCAGAGTGTTGTGAGAACCTGCTCTGAGGAAAACTCAGAGACCTCCAATCTCTGTGGGAGGAACAGGTGCTGGCTCAGCCCAAACATCCGCTGATCGCTGACTTTGTATTGATGCCTTCAGGGCATCGTTTTTATGCTCCAGCACGAAAAACAAACCGTTTGTCCAATTATTTTGTGCCCTCTGCCATAAAACTGTTGAACTCTGGTCGAGGTGTTTGACTTTTTGGGAATTGTGTAGTTCATTGTTGTTTTTTAACTTATATTGTGTAACCTGCTGCTGTGTGAACTGTGTTTGTGTAGAGTCTGTGTGTTGTGCTTTGAGTTTATGCTGCAAATGAATTGCCCTTTGGGATCAATAAAGTTTTCTGAATCTGAATCTAACGTAACGTGTAACCTGGTGGATGCATAAGGAAACATGAGCCTTCAGCCATTCATAAAATTAATTTAATCTTGACGAGCATAAATGAGGAAAGTTGTATAAATCTTCAAATATCCAACAATAGCCTTTGTTTCGTCTTGGGCTGTGTTCAATCTTGGGTTCGATTCCACCTCCAGGCCTTTCTGTGTGGAGTTTGCATCTTCTCCCTGTGTCTGCCTAGGTTTCCTCCAGGTGCTCCGGTTTCCCCTTTCACCAAAAACGTGTTCAATATGTCCGTCATGTGCCTTGTTTATGGCAACCCTGCTCCCTTCTCTGTGTGGAGTAAGAGCCAAAGGCCAACAACACGCACAGAGCTTTGTGTTCTATGTTCTGCTAAAGGCACTATGTAAATACTTACTACTATTTCCTTCTATTTGTAACTTACCTAATCATTTTATTCAGTCCAATCTTATAAAATGGTTTTGGCTTGAGTCTGTGAGAAAAGACAGACGATAGAGGGATTGTTTATTGATCCCATTCAGGAGCAGAGACACATCCATCCATACAAACAATAAATACTTCATTCTAAAAGTGAAATAGATATATTTTCTAGCTCTGTTTTCATAATTCTGTTTCCACCAGCTGACACGTCTCTCTCCTCCTTCACAGGACATGCTGCAGCAGCCTCCTCATACAGTATGACAAGGACCACCTGCTCCCTTCCAGGATGACGCTGTGATCTGAATACTTCAGCCTATTCTCGCTGCCACCGACTCTTGGGACTTCTACAAATTCCAACCAACAAACCAAGCAATTCCAGCAGGATTTCTTTTTGTCATTATTGATTTCCCTCTTTCCGGCACCATGCGAGTCCGCCCGTCTGCCTCGTCGTTCCTTCTGTGTCTGGTTTTTGCCTTTTCGCTCTTTCCCCGCACGACGGAGGCGGACTGCTGGCTTATCGAAGGGGACAAAGGCTACGTGTGGCTGGCCATCTGCAGTCAGAACCAGCCGCCCTTCGAGACCATCCCTCAGCACATCAACAACACGGTGCACGATCTCAGGTTGAACGAGAACAAGCTGAAGGCGGTGCTGTTCAGCTCCATGTACCGCTTCACTAATCTGACCGACCTCAACCTCACCAAGAACGACATTAGCTACATTGAAGACGGGGCCTTTGCGGGGCAAGCCAATTTGCAGGTAATTGGACGAGGAGATGGTTTGAGGGGAAAGCGAGTTTTTCTCTGTGCGCTGTGGGGAAGAAATTGAGTTTTAAACACGTTTGGGTGGACAGGTTAGCTCAATACGGTTTACAGATGAGGAATTGTCTGGTTTCAATCAGCTCAGGGCCCTACACAGGACTTAGAAAATACAGAGATCCTATTTACTTGATCAAAGTCGACAGCTCAAACATGCGGCCCCTGGAATGATTTTCAATTACTTACCACTTTCTTGCAGCATTGGCTACTTTTACATGTTATACATATTTTCAATTCAATTTTTGTTGTTGTATAGCATTAAAATACAACAGTAGTTATTTTGAGAATTTCACAAATCTGTCGATTCGCCAACACAGATCAGAGCTGATAAAAACACATAGAAGCAGTGCTATAAGTGGGCCTGTATACTTCCAATAATAGCTCTTGAGTGTACCACCGCTTTGAGCACAAAAAAGGTGCATTTGCTCATCTGTTTTAATTCTTTAGCTGCTCCACCACTTTCCAGAGTGCCCTTCACTATGCACACTTCCTACTTTGTCTCACCGAGGGAAGAAACTACATTATCCATACGTTTTACGAGAGAAAGGCGCACAACTCAACCACACAAACAAACCGATTCCAGAGGTGTGTGAAACGTGCAATCATAGATCCTCCGTTAAAATCCTATCCTAACACTTAGCCGACTATGCTCTCCTGGCTTCAGAGGCGTAAAAGAACAAGATCAGGATCAGAGGACTCGCCGACGTCCATCACCAAGTCAGAACGAGATCGCTGCAGGTCAGACGCAGGCAAATGAAAGCAGCACTTGGGCCGCGGTCATCGACAATCACACAATTAGCAACAAGGACGAGAGTGACACTTCTACCGATGACAACGGCCGTGTTAGCGTGAGTGGCCAGAATGTTGGTCCCACGCAAAAGTCCAGTATTTCTCCACAAATTACAAGCAGCTGATGAGCTCGTTAGTCCACGGGTGTCACGGGAGTGGAGTGGGGGCCGAATCTTGTCTTTTGGAAGGGATAAGGCTGCACAACAGACCTCACTACGAAAGAAAAAATCAGAGCATAGAGAGAAAGAAAGCAGAAAGAAAGCAGTTGAAATAAAAGAGAAGCAATAACAAAATACACATTGAAGATATGAGAAAGGCTGACTACGCTTCAACTTGTAATGTGTTTAGAGCACCTTATAAGATTGACAAGCATAAATGTCCCTTTACAGACATGCCATATATCCAGCTCAAAGTCTTAAAGGAACAGGCCTCCGTGTTTACAGACTGACACATGTTCTTACCTCAGACTAGTTGATATGAACCTGTCTGGTCTTTGTCCGTGTGCTCTGTCATGCAAACTGAGCACAAACACAGCCTCTTCCACAGACCGGGCGGCACGGTGGCTGAGTGGATAGCACTCTTGCCTCTCAGCAAGAAGGTCCTGGGTTCGAATCCCAGTCGGACCAGGGCCTTTCTGAGTGGAGTTTGCATGTTCTCCCTGTGTCTGCGTAGGTTTCTTCCGGGTACTCCGGTTTCCCCTACCACTAAAAATATGTCCAATAGTTCTGGCATGCGCCTCCTGTACTGGCCCTGCTCCCATCTCTGTGTGGAGTGAGAGACAAATGCCCAAAATTAACAATTGTAAACCGCTTTGAGACTCAGATCTGCAGTGAAAAGGCGGTATATAAATAAAAACTTACTTACTTACTTACTGTATAGTTCCAAATCAGCTCCCGTTAGAAGCTCCTAAACTCTTCCACGTGTTCCCTATTTAAATACAGTTACGTGACGTGTTACTCTACAAAGTACAAAGTAGAGTAACACCGAAATATAACATGTCCATTTTCTCAGTGGATAAAAAGGGGAACTCTATTGTGAGGCGTAATAATACGAGCGCACTAACTCCAACAAGTCACGCTGCTTCTATTGACGGAAGTGAGCGGGAGAGAAGTCTTTAGGAGTTAGTGCGCGGACGAAGTGCTCCTCGTATCCGTTTGCATGACAGAGCACACGGACACAGACCAGACAGGTACATATCAACTATAGTCTAAGGTAAGAACATGTGTCAGGATGTAAACACGGAGCCTATTCCTTTAAATGGAGTGAAGATGGGCAGAGATTTGCACTGTAATAACTCATGTGCAAATACACTGGATCACATTGCAGCTGAAATGAAAAATAAGGTAGTTAATGGCACAGTGATGAATAAAAGAAAATGGTGTGTGCTCAGTGATGAATCTGTGCCTGCGGTCAGCTAGTTCCAATGAAGAGCCAGAAGAAAATAGTACTGGCACCTCTTCCAGAAAATAATACAATACAATAATACAGCGTCTGAATCCTGGATAAAAGTATGTGAGTAATAACATTGTTTTAATTTGGTGTTCTTTTTTAAAGTGCTGCCCACTCAACAGTTTTTAAAAATACATTTGAATATTTAGGGTTGATGTGTAACCAGAGGGTGCTTGGAATAACGAGCCCTTAGAGCAGTGAAAACATATGGACTGAGCAGCATTATCATCAACCCTCAGCAGCTGTAAAACAGATAATATATGCTTTATTAATCTCACACAGGAGAAATGTACATGTCACATTGGCTTGGATAGAAACACTCAGATTGTGCAAAAAGTAAGAATGTGCAACATGTTGATGCAGGATGTATTATGTACAAAAAGTGTCATTTAGAAAGAAGTGTCAATAGAAGTGCAGCTTTTTTCAGTCATAATTAAGTGACTTAAAGTGACTTGTTGTACAGTCTGATATGACTGTCGCCTACGTGAGTGAATAAGAAGCAAAAAGCACACAATTACACAAATCCTTTTCCACAAACAAGAAGAATCTCATGAAATCATGATTAGAAGTGAATCTAGAAAGAATGGACCTTAATGTTGCAGCAATGATTCAGCCACATTTACTTTAGCAGTCTGTTTCAGGACATGTTATTTAACTATTTAGCACCCACAGGTTTTCATTTACTGAGTATAGACAAAAACAAAAGCTAAACGACAGAAGCCTCTGGATGAAACGCAGGTCTAAATAAGACCAGTTCTGGTGAAGCCAATTCATTTATTTTCTTCATAAAAGGATTTTTTTAGAGCAAAAAAGACCTGAAAATATGAAAACATGTGGTTTTATCAGTGTGAAATCCACAGAGCAGGCAGGAAGCTTGTTAGTCCGAGACCTCTGGGACTAATGCCACTCGTGTGAAGCTTCTGCAGATCCTCGCCTCGAGTCAGAAGGAAAGGTTGGACAATTTGGAAAATTTGGTGAATAGGAAAAATACAATTACAATCAAATGTTTGGAGGTAAAAAAATGTATTATTTGTAAGTGAGGAATCTTTATTTCCAGACAAGATTATTATTATAGTGATTTTATATATATTATAATGTCAATACAACTTTACTTTAGCAGTATAGAACTTTTTTAGAAACCGTCTAAAACCGTATTATAATATAAAATATTAAAAAGAATAAATAAAGCAAACGGCGCACAGCGAGAGACAAAACAAAGGCAGGAGGCTGTGACAGGGTGTGTTTGAGCAGCTGTATACAGTACTGCACAGGACACAACATCTATATATGGTACCTCAATATAGTTTCAAACAATACATTACGGTTCAGTAAAAAATATTTCAAATCTATTATTTATCTAAATATCAATAAATGCATGAACATTGACTTTAAAAGAACACCCAAAAGATGACTTACTGTGTGGAACATGTGGGTTATCCTGTTTTCTATGCAAATCCAACCATTCGTGTGGAAGTAAAAAGGTGGAACATTGTAAAAGTGTGACGGAGGCTTAAGGCTGAGAGAGAGAGACCATGGAGCAGGTCAGACACCACTCGACTTCCAAAGTATCCGCTGTATCATTAGGAACTGGAAACTTTGGAGATTTCAGCTCCAGCCGTGAGGGAGACCGGGTCCCCTTAGATATCTCCGGTACATGTACAACACTGCCTTTATATCTAACTTTTTTCATTAGTTCTCTGGCATCGATTTGCAAGAAATATAGCTTTAATCTTAATTAGTAAGCAGTACTTGCAGACAACAGTGTAAGGGACACCGATATCAATAGTGACGCAATCGGGAACAATCCAATACAGCACCATATCTAGGATTATGTTATAGTCAGTCACGACGAATTTCAGTGACTGTCACTGTGAACATGAGCATTGGTATTGAGTAACATGAGTATTTATATAGTGTTTTTTATCCTCTACTTTATGATTGATAAGTTACAATTATTCAACTCCATTCAGTTAATTCAAGATCCAGTTCCTCCATAGTAGTTTGTTGAATTTGGTTGCAAAAGTCAAACTCATTACAACACTCACGGGCCATAACTGGAGTAACTGGAGTGTTGCTTGTTAAATAGTCTTTTTTGGTCCTTGAATTCAAAGAATATTATTATTCTTCAGCCGACACCTTTTGAAGACATAAATAGCTATTCACACCTACAGTTGGTGCATCGTCTAAAAATACTTACTACTCTGTAAGTGCCTGGTGCCACCATCTGCTTGTCTCAGTGAAGCTATGTGTTTAATCTATACTATTAAATACTATTAAGAATGTTTTACGTTTTTAAGCTCTACTTTCTACATAACTCCACTGTGCTTGAACACAGAGAGGGAGTTCTTAAGTGACTATGTAGTATATACTAAAATATCTACATATGAATAAAATATTAAACCCCATTTGTATTTTGACAGGTTCTCCAGCTGGGATACAACAAACTGACGAACCTCACTGAGGGCATGCTCCGGGGCCTGGGTCGCATGAACAGTCTCTTCCTCCAACACAACCTCATCGAAGTCATTGCCAACAACGCCTTCTGGGAGTGTCCCAGCCTCAGCAGCATCGACCTCTCATCCAACAAGCTCGCCCGAATTGACCCCACCACATTTGCAGTCCTTAGTCGGCTTATGGTCTGCGAACTTGCTGCCAATCCATTCCACTGTGGCTGCGATTTGTACAGTTTCCTATTCTGGCTGGAGTCTTTCAACAACGTCACTCACACCTATGATCGTCTGCAGTGTGAGACTCCACGAGAGATGTTCGGGTACCCCTTACTGAGCCCAATCGCGGCTGGACCAGCGAGCCGCAATGCCAAGAACATTCTGTCATCGCGCTGTCGAGATGGCGTGATGATACCCGGGTACACTTCCCTACCGCCTGACTTGGATTTCGTTTCAGGGATTGGACCGGATATGCTTGGAGGAATCGGGCCTTACTACCAACCCACCACTTCGTCCTCATCGGCAGATCGGAATTTCACCCCCACTATCAAGCTTCGTAACGTGTCTTTGATATCAGCATCTCTCTTGGTGGAAATTCCCCGCCCCTTCAGCAAAATGTACATTCTAACTCAGTACAACTACACGTATGTTTCAGACGTTATGAATCTAAAGAACACCAAGGAGGTTATCACACTCAACAAACTCAAAGCACACACCAACTACACTTTCTGCGTGGCGTCAATACGTAACTCGCAACGATACAACCACACGTGCATTTCGTTCGCCACACGAGCTCAAAATCCAGGCGAAATGCCACCTTCACCTTCTACCACCACACACTACATAATGACCATTGTGGGATGCCTCTTTGGTATGCTAATCTTTCTCGGGTTTGTCTACTACTGCTTGCGTAAGAAGCGTGTGCATGATGAGAAAAAGAAATCCATCTGTGTGAAGAAAACGATCCTGGAGATGCGGTACGGGCCTGAGGTGGCTGCAGCAGTGGCCAACGATCCTTCGGCCGTACACAAGCTTCAGGAGCAGTCGAGGGACCATCACCAGTATCAGCATCATCATGGAAGTAAGCTGCCCATGTCCACATCGTCCAGCACAGGCATGCTCCACTCAGCCAACACCACCTCTTCCAGACTCTCCTGCATTCCACAAGTCGAAAAGATGGCCACTGCGTTCTCAGAGGCACTGGCGACGAACAAAGGGAACTACATGGACATTCGTACGGGAGTGGCCATGGAAAGGATGGGTGATGTCGGCCATGGAGGTCTGCGGGCAGAGGACTTAAGGGACGATGATGGGACAGATATGGGGGACGATTCTGATGACGATGGCCGTGGGTCTGCCTCAGAGATCTCCACCATTGCCATGGAGGTGGATAAGGTTAATCAGATCATCAATAACTGTATAGACGCCCTAAAGCTGGACGCAGCAGCAGTCGCTGCTTCAGGGGTCTCCAACAGTACTCCATCATCCAACCCCACGTCCCCTCCCCCAAATAGTAACTCTTCACTCACTCGTGGTCTCATCCCACGCTCCCCGGGGATGACGGAGACGTGCTCTGGCAGCGCTCCTATGAAAGCCCCCACTCCCACTCCCATGCCCCCTTTGAATGTGCCACTATCAGAGCGGCCAGGGATCACTGGTGGAGGGTTTGTAGTTTCTCCCCCCTATCGCCCACCTCCACCAGCCACCGCTGTGCGCCCTGTCCAACGACAGATGAGTGCAGACGCGGCCAGTGTTGGTGTAAACGCGGTGAAGAAACAGTGCAGCACCACTTCTTGTGGTTCGATGGGGCGAGACCGAGACCGTGGTAACGCTCGAGTCTACAGCCTGGATGTTTCAGAGCCGCGGAGTCCAGATGGGTGCAACCAAGTAAAGCAGCAGTATCCTGACCGGGCCAGCCCTGTGGGGTGTGGAGAGCCGCTGGAGAGGCTCCCGTTAGTGGGCAGTGGGAATTGCGGAGGAGGGAGTGGTGGTGGTGGCTGCGACAGTGGTGGTGTTGGTGCTCAGCATCAGGAGAACCAGAGGCCCCACCATTACCATCAGCAGGCCCAACAACAGCCTCAGCAGCAGCAACAGCAGCAGCAGCAGCAGCAGCAGCTGGATGTGCAACAGGACTACCACTGCTCGGAGCACCGCCACTCTGTCCCAGCTCTATATTATGAAGGCTCCCACCAGGGCTCCCCGGCCCAGAAGGTGTCCTTTCTGAAGCCCTTGACCCGCTCCCGGCGAGATGCAGCCTCCTACTCCCAGCTGTCCCCTGTGCGACATCATTCCAGTTACTCCGGGTATTCCTCCAGCCCCGAGTACTCAGAGAGCACACTGCGGATCTGGGAGCGATTTCGGCCATACCGGAAAGGGCAGCGCGATGAGGCTTGTTATGTTACAGCTGGGAATGCTCTACGCAAAAAGGTGCAATTTGCAAAAGGAGAGGACCTCCATGACATTCTTGATTATTGGAAGGGCGTGTCAGCGCAGCAGAAGTTGTGACTGGAGGACATGGGGTGATCCTTTTACATAGAGTTGAGACACTTCTCCTCTTGGCAGAGCGCAGTGACCACTGTACTCTGTGGTAGTACAGGACATGACATTGCCTTGGAGTTTCGTTGGCATGCTAGGTGTATAGAACATTTTAAAAAGAGCAAAGACTGTGAAACTGTGCCTGGAATTGGAGGTCATTATGATGTTTTACTTTTACTTCATTGTAGCATCATTTTGGGTCATTCTGAGTTCAGCTTTAGTTTGGGCACAGGAAGCAGAAAGCAGCTGTGTAATTACTATGATTTGCAAACTTTGTGGCTGCCTCAGTGCCCGGCTTGCAAAGGTTATTGAAAGAAGCAGAATCGTGGACAGTCTCAGAGCTGGAGGATTTGGGGCCTGTTTGAACATTTCACATGGAACAGCAGACAGAAATCCATTTTGAAGAGCTATGACTTCTGCTATTTCAGTTGTAATTACTGCACAGAACATATTTTAAACTACCACAAGTATATTTTATAGTCTACAGCATTGTGCTTATACCGCTTTTTTTTGTCCATATATGTGTCAAAAACATTTCTAACACTGCCCTTAACGGTTGAAATACAAGTGATAGTTGAAAACTCAAATCTGATCAAAGGGACTGCTGTCAAAATATTCCCCATTTTCTCAATCCAATTTTCCACGAGCGTTCGGGAGGGGGGAACTCCACCACATGACAAACGAGCTTTCAACAGTCACCTCATGAAGCCGCTAGTGTGAAGTGACCCTTAAGTGACCACGCTGCAAAACTGGAGAGAAAGAGCATCGCGCCAACGTAGGCAGAGTAGAGTCACGCCACGAAAGTCCAATCTATTTTTATCTATTACACGCTACGGTACATTCCATATCTCTTCTCTCGCATTGTTCCGACGAGGCACGGGGACAAGGAGATGTACGACCACTGCCAGCGTCTTGGACATAATCCCTGTTGGTCTTTTGGGGAGATCATTTAGAAACATGTGGCGGGCATGTGGGCTTGCACTTCACACATGATTGTGTGTTTGGCCGTGTGGTGCACAGTGGTTAGTGGGTGTTCGCATGCCGTGTCAGACTTAGCCAAATTGTATTTAATTAATAGTGTCGATATATTGCCCAGTGGCTGAAAGAGATGTTATCTGTAATGGCATGAACAAATTGAAATTGTTTTTTTTTTCTATATTATCTATACAAATGAGTTTCAGTCCAACATCAACTGATAGCGGTGTACTAAAATGTGCTTATTTTCTTCAGAATCAACTATCACAATGTACTTTTGAATAACTGTACCGATAGCTTAGTACACAATGTGAAACTTGTACCCCAAAATGTGAAAATGAAATCAATGGTGTTCCGCATTTCTGTTTTGGGCTGTAACCAAGAGAAGATTCAGTAACGGGGCCGTTTCTTGCTAAACGTAAAGTAGGTCCTGGGGCTCACGTAAAACTGAAATATATGTATTTGTAAGGTCGTTCTTTTTCACTGTAAGTACGTGCAGGTCATTTTTTAGTTCTTAAGTACTTTGAGACAATCAAGATTCTATTTAGAAAAAAGACAATTCTATTTAGAAGTAAATCTAACCTATAAAATACTTTCTATCACTACCATCTATTATTGATATATGTGCATTCCCCACAGTCATTGGATTTGTACGGCTGTAAATCCATACTTTCAGTGACCCCAAGATTTATTATTGGACCCCGCTAACGCAAGAGACGGCCCTGTATAACTCCAATATATTGATTTATTGACAATCTTAACCTGCCTGTTTACCCTTACTAGTGTATAGGTGAATGTTGAGTCATCAGGTGACCTCTGTGGAACTGCTCGGTGCACACTCTCTGGGCCAAGAAGTGAATATTCCATTCTGACTTTAGAAGCTAATTTACCAACAGACAAACCAAGTAAACTGGTTTGTCAGGTATTAGCATGCCGGGCTAATTAGCAATCAATGTAATTGTCAAGATATTAGGGACATGCATGCTTAAAGTAACATAAGTTTGATTCTCTCCTTTGATGCATTTAAACATATTCAAGATTCTATTTGCCATTTGCAGTAAAACCCTGTTGGAAAAAACTGTGCAAGACCACCCCAGTGTGCACCAGGACTGCACACACCAGGGCACTTGCCACGGCGCCTTTTGCTCAGCAAAAAAATCTTCTGAGGACATAATTTGCCAATGGCCAAACTAAAAAAACTGTCGGGTGTTAGCATGTTGGGCTATTTAGCAGTCAATGTACTGGTGGATTAGCTATAATGTCTGACCATTAGTCTGAATTAGTCATTATGAGCCTTGTCACAATACAAGCTGGATTATTAGACTTTCCACTCTCCAGCTAAAATAACATAAGATAAGATAAACTTTATTGATCTCACAATGGAAAGATCCGGGCTAAACCCTTTAAAAAGAACGTCTGTGAAAAGGCGTCGTACTTCCTGGCCCCGCGTGCACCGTTCAGCTCTCTGCAGAACAAGACGGTCGTGTGTAAGCTCCATTGAAAACAGACTCATGTTTACACTCGCTCAAAAGACGCTAATCCTCGGCGTTTGGTACCTCGCCTTTCCCGTCTCATCTTTTGTGTTGTTGTGATCTCCCAGGGTGCAGTGCGGTGGCGCCACTGTCTCTGCAGAGGAGGCGAGCTACTGTGATTTACAAGTGAACTATTTCAAACGTTTCTGTGCAATTCCCCCCAAAAAACCCAGCGTCCTCTACACTGCCGGGTTTGAAGGGCGCGGAGGATGCTAATGCTAATGCTAATGCTAACGCGAGACACAGCTCTGCCATATTTGCCTACCAAAATAATGCCATACTATTCTCATGCATTGTTAGCATTTATTGACAGAATTTTGTTGTTTAGAGGATTTTGAATATCTCAAGATGTAAGATAAGATTAATTGGTCACACTTTAGATTAGCCCTTATTAATTAACAGCTAATTAGTGTAACCTAGTCCTGGCCCTGACGCTCATGGGAAAGGGTCAGATAGTAGTTAGTTAGATGTTGAATTAGGCCATGGAGAATAAGGACTAATAAGTGCTGAATAAATACCAATTAAGAGCTAATTGACCATAGATTAAGCATTAATTATCTGTTAATTAGTGAGGGCTAAACTAAAGCGTGACTGTATAATTTATGTTATCAAAGTTGCTTTTCTGCTCTTTTCTGCTTTTTTTCTATTTTAATTTCTTTTGAATCAATTCTACATCAATGCTACAATAAGTGCCAACGTTTGTTTTTATTAATTAAGAAAAAATCTAAACAAAAACAACTTACAACTACTTTATTGTGACATAATTTATGAATGAACTTAAATTAGACCATAAAAAAGCATATAAAAGCCTAACCCTGTCAGATCTCAGACACCAGCAGGGCAGGGCCTGGTTAGTACTGTGATGGGAGACCTCTGGGAACATAATGTGAAGCTTGATATAAAACCAATACATTACTTTGTGTAAATATAGGTCGGTTTGGATCGATACAAAACATTGTCAGTAAATCTATGTTCATTACTTCCCATGGTCCAAATTGTTGTTTATTTCTTTTTTTCAAACATGCAAAAGATTTACAACAATTTGAAACGTTTGTTTCCGTTTTGAATGAGTCAAAACTATTGCTCTAGTTACAATCGTCGACCTGTGACAAATTGGACATTACTTTATACATCCTGCTCAACTCAAACATTTATTATATTCTGCACATTAACTGCAGAAACTTCATTAGACATGATTATTCTCTGAATAGTCGACCTCTGAATGAATGACTCAAATACAACAGAAAAATGAGACATAAGAGTAACAAAGCTCAGATGTAAATGACCAGAGGAAACTCAGAAACCACAGAAAAGAACAGAGAATTATTTAATTAATGATTTGAATACTATAATGTATCAATTTAATTGTTTGGGCAAAATATCGCGATACTGAACAGAATCGATTTTTGCCCCCACCACTACACATTTATAACAAAATATTTCAAAAATAATTCCAGAAACAGGAAAATCTAGAAAACATTGGTCTGTACTTGAACCAGCACGGATCCTTCTGTGATCGTTTCATTTTATCGAACTGGACTCAAAGAAAGCTGCATCTGCTTCTCTTTTATGTTCATTTCCTGGTTATTTCAGCCGGTCTCCAAATGTGGAGCAGAGGAGCCAGAGTGAGAGCTGTTTGTTTGTGTTGCTCTGAACCCTGCGGCTCACTCCCAGCTCTGTTTGTGTCTGTGCCAAAGCAGAGCCATGCAGACTCCAATAAGTCTGCAAATGCACTCTGGATTCACTCTGGATTTACTCTGGATTCACTCTGGATTCACTCTGGATTTACTTTGGATTCACTCTGGATTCCCTCTGGATTCACTCTGGATTCACTCTGGATTTACTCTGGATTCACTCTGGATTCCCTCTGGATTCACTCTGGATTCACTCTGGATTTACTCTGGATTCAGTCTGGATTCACTCTGGATTTACTCTGGATTCACTCTGGATTTACTCTGGATTCACTCTGGATTTACTCTGGATTCACTCTGGATCACTCTGGATTCACTCTGGATTCAGTCTGGATCACTCTGGATTCACTCTGGATTCAGTCTGGATCAGTCTGGATTCACTCTGGATTTACTCTGGATTCACTCTGGATTTACTCTGGATTCACTCTGGATTCACTCTGGATTCAGTCTGGATCAGTCTGGATTCACTCTGGATTCACTCTGGATCACTCTGGATTCACTCTGGATTCAGTCTGGATCAGTCTGGATTCACTCTGGATCAGTCTGGATTCACTCTGGATCAGTCTGGATCAGTCTGGATCAGTCTGGATTCACTCTGGATTCACTCTGGATCAGTCTGGATCAGTCTGGATCAGTCTGGATCAGTCTGGATCAGTCGAGGGGGAAAGCCCGAAATCCACCTGACACAAAATTAACTCCTTTAGTTTTGGTTTCTTGTTCAGATGTGATTCATACATGTTTTAGTCTAGTGAGTCCTGGTCTAGGCACAGGT